CCTGCAGTCGCAGTTCCAGGGGATTTCTGTGAAGTTTCAGAGTGGCCAGGCGTTTGTTCTTGGCGAATGTCATCTGTGGAAGGCTTTGGAGCCGGTTGTGAGCCAGATCAAGTTGAATCAAGCTTGGCAGATAGGAAAATGCCTAAAAATGAAGGATGAAATGGGTTTCGTCGATTTAAATGGAAACTACGCGTCGCAGTTGGCGGCGCGGTTAGGGCAAGAACTACTCCAAGAAAAGCGTCGCGAAAAAAACTAGGCTTATATCCCTTTATTAAACTCAATACCCACCCACCTGAACGTCGACGTTTTCGATTTCGTTGTGCCGAAGGTCAAGAGAAATGAGACGCGAGTTCTGTGCTGCTAAAGAGGGTATGAACCGTAATTTATTCCTAGCCAGGCTTATCCGGCGCAGAAGAGGAAGATAGTCGAGAACATTCTGAAAATTTAATAAAAGAAAAAGCATCGTGGAGTAAAGATGATAAAGGAAAATTTCTCGATTTTTTCGCCTCCTGTAACTTCAGTCATTGAAATTCGCGTCAAAATCCACCATTCACTGCCCACGGAGTTGTAGAGAGCTTCTGAGAAAGGGAGAGACACGAGTCTACCGAGCACCCACGTGAGACCTTGGTTAGATGGTCCCACGTGGGTGCTCGGTATACTCATGTCTCTCCCACTTTCGGTAGCTTGTGGAGGCTATACTGTGGAGGCTCTAGATGACGATGCTGCAAAAAGTGTAGCGTGCGCGACATTCGGACCAGAACCTTACTGGAGTACAAAAAAGTGCTCTAGCACTGGAGTGACAGGTCAGACCTCGACGCCGGGGTAAGGTTGCACTCCTTGTTTTCAGCTTGACGCTCGATGTCGGTCTCTGTCGCCTTTAGTCGCTTGCTATCCCTTGGTGTCGAGTAATGTAATGCACCCGTTGTCATTCTTGGCACTTGACGGACGAGATTTATGCCGTTCTCCTACCCACCGCTCGCGCAGTTCGGCGAGAGAGCGGGGAAGGGGGGGGGCATCCCGCACTTCTGCTATTTCCCATTGACGTGCCGAACCGTCAAGTGGAGACTTATGAAATCTTGTGAAGCCATGAAATGGTACTAGTCAAAGTTTACCCCTTGTAAAGCAATAAATTACCATACAAATACCATTTCCCACGATGTAGACCAGCTTAGC